AGCGTAACAGAGAATTACCAATATTTTTAAGATTCAAGTTTTAGATAAACTTAGGAATGTTATGCTTTGAAGTTTTCAGAGCTAGTAGCTAAAGAGAATGGTTCAAATGTTCTCCAGCCTAAGGCTTAACGTGAATTTAGAATATTATTATTGAAACATTGGGAGGGGGTATTACTCTTGAAATCTTATACCTCCATCCACAGATAAGAACACTTAGTGCAAAGAATTAAAGCTGCCTAAGTCAAATTATTTTTCAAATGGCAAAGTTGTTTTTTCAAGAGACAGAAAGTGGGGGTAGAATATACCTCCCGGCAGAGGATATCTTAAGCGACAGGTACTCGGAGAAGAGGAAATACAAATAGGGATTTTTTTTTAAAGCAGAAAACCCTCAATTTCTCCTAAAGTGAAGGGGGGATGTATCAGATTTAACTTTAAGCTCCCTTCCGCTCAATTGCTAACTCTATTTTTGAAGAAAGGACCTTCGGATACCCGGCAGATATGCTTTCTGCAAACAATCCGGGTGAGTGGGTCCTTCTGCCCTGGTCTATCCCGACACTTCTCGAATTCACACCTTTCCCAGCTCTGTTTCCTAGCGTATCTGCCTTCCCCCTTTCCTCCGAGTCCGTCACCGTCTCACCCACCCGCGAGTCAGGCCCCGGCGCCCCTCCACCGGAACGCCCAGGTCGTCTGGCCGTCTGCGTCCGTCGGTCCTCGCCCGCGCAGTCACGGGCCGCGCCCCCCACCAGGCCTCCGCTCAGTCCGTACCGCCGCTCCGCCCTGCAGGGGCCGCCGCGCTTTATATCCGCTGCCGCCCGTCCCGGGCCCACGTGCCGCCACGCCGGGGAGCCTGGGGGTTGTAGTTCTGCGCCGCCGCCCGCGAGGCGCGCCCGGAACCGCCGGCCCCGAAGCCCCGAAACCCCGAAACGTTTTGCACACCTGGAGTCTGCTCTTCCCCGGTGTCACCTGAACAACGTAGGCTGAAGTGACTCCGGCGCAGCTCCCCGGCTCCCCGAGGATCGCGAGCATCCGAACTGGCAGCCGGGTGCCCGAGAGCACGCCGCTCACCCGCGCCACGCTGAGTGCAAACCTCTCCCTGCCTCGTCTGCAGGCCAGTCCTTCCCGCGTGCGGACACCTCCTGGGCTCCGCTGCGTCTTAATTTTCCTTCTTTTGCGCAGGGCTCTGCAATCCCTGCTATCTCGTGGTTCTGCGTTGTGAGGTTTGGGCTGCTGTTTCCGAGGCGTGCGGAGACACCCCAACTGCCCGTCGGCGTTCAGCTCTCTTCCGGCTGACGCCGCTGCACCAGCCCTGCAGACTCTCGTGTTAAGGATTGATGAGCGAATTTTAAAGTGAATTATCTCCTCATACAGGAGCTTTTCTGGCTTCTTTTGGAGAATATTTGAAGGAGTTTTGAAAGGGAAAAGTATTTTTAACCCAACCGCCTCTACTTTCAGGAATATCAGGAGTCTGTTATTCTAGGATCATGTACTGTGTTAATAAATCAGGAACAGAGCCAGAGACAAGTCCTCAGTCTTCTCTTGCTGATGTGATTCCACCTCAATTTTCCGTAAAAGGAGATGGCTGATGCTTATTATTACATTTAGAGAAACTAAATTGTTAAAAGGGCTTCCCAGTTTGCAAAATGCTTTTAAATGTATTCTTTTTTTTTTTTTTTTTTTTTTTTGAGACGGAGTCTGGCTCTGTCGCCCAGGCTGGAGTGCAGTGGCCGGATCTCAGCTCACTGCAAGCTCCGCCTCCCGGGTTTACGCCATTCTCCTGCCTCAGCCTCCCGAGTAGCTGGGACTACAGGCGCCCGCCACCGCGCCCGGCTAGTTTTTTGTATTTTTAGTAGAGACGGGGTTTCACCGTGTTCACCAGGATGGTCTCGATCTCCTGACCTCGTGATCCGCCCGTCTCGGCCTCCCAAAGTGCTGGGATTACAGGCTTGAGCCACCGCGCCCGGCCTTTTAAATGTATTCTAATAGTTCTTGCATGGCACAGAGCACCAGAGATAATAGCTAATAAGTACTGTGTTCAGTGCTTACTCAGCCTGCACCATTCTAGCCGTTTTAAAATTTAATTCCTAAAATAACCCCATTGGTGGGTCCTGTTTTATAAATGTATATGTTACAGATGAGCAAGGATCATTCCATGTTACAGATCAGAAACAGGTTTAAAGAGTTGAAGTAATTTGCCAAAGGCCATAGAGCTGATTAAGCTGTGGTTTGATTTCAAGTAGTCCAGAAGCTTGTGCTCTTAACACTATGTTATCCTGCAGGAAAAAAATAAATAAATACAAAAAGGAAAGAAAAAGAAAAACCCTTAGATACATGAAGTAAGTTCTCCTAAAGGTACAGAATTGGTTTTTGGTTTTTGTTTTTTTTTTTTTTGTAATGTTAACAAGTCTTATACCATATCCTAATGATACAATGAAAGTTTTTTTGTTTTTGTTTTTGGAAAGTCACACTTTAATAAGTGCAAAATTAAGTGTGTCAGTACCCAAAAGGTATAGGTCATTAGGCTTAACATTGTCAACCAACAAACCAATATTCTAAATGCATGAACAAACTGCTTTTTTGTATAAATATGGTAGTGCAAAGTAATTCCTTATAATAATTTGTTAGTGTTTGCCAAGAAGCAGATGCTAAGATGGGATTAGATGTGTGAGAGACTTATTGGGGGAGGGAGTTGGAGCAGACAGGAACATCCTGCAGACTGATGTAGGGCTGACATCCGTGAACGAAAGATGGAAGAAAGGAGCATGGAGTAGGGAGAATCTCACTGCATTCTTAAAGTATCCACTCTGTGCCCTTATGAAACTCAGAGCCTATACTGTGAAGTGTCGGGGAGACACCGTTCTTTTAAAATATGGTAAATGCAGTGATAGACCTGTACAGAGATATTACAGGAACACTGAGCTCTAATCTGGGCTGAAAGGGGTGGGGTGTGTGTGTGTGTGTGTGTGTGTGTGTGTGATGAGGCAGGAGGGTGTTCCAGAAACGTCTTACTGGGGAAGGTCACAGCCAAGGTAAATATCAGACAATGAGTAGGGCTTAGAAGAGAGGCATCAAAAGGCTCAGTGCTGAGCTGCAGGCCTCTAACCCTCTTCTGATAAGTGGCAGGCTCTGTGAGATTTCTTCTATTATTATATAGTATTATTTAATCATCATTACTTTTCGTGCTTTTATTTCTTGCCCCCAACTCCACTGCAAGGTGTTCGAGGCAGGCATCATGTCCTATTCCTTGTTTTTCCCACAGTGTAGGACATAGTGTCTATCCATGTGCAGGCCAAGAGGGTGAGATTTGGAAATATTACTACCATCAACTCTCCTTTATTTAAAACAAATGTATGTCAGGTTTTGCATCAACTTTTGTTTGCTACAATTCAAATTTGAAATCCACCAGTGCAGGGGAAAGTGCTTGGGAGATACGGTGCAGTGAAATTTGACAGAACAGTCATTTGTTCTATCCTTGGAGCTGGAGGTGATGCCCCCATCACAGGCTCCTGAACTGACTGTGGGTGAGGGGTGGGACCCAGAAAGTTTCCCCTTATCTTCTGGTAAGGATATACTTACCAGAAAAGAGAAAATGGATTTTCAACAGCTGAAACACTGCTAAATTGGGGAACACTTATGAAGGAAGGAGACCTAATTTGGATCTTGAAGTGTTGTTACCCATTGTGGTTCAGTAAAAGGTCTGTCCACAGGTGAGCAAGAGTCTGTTCCATTCACTGTGAAGAACACATAACCAGGTATGAGAGTCACTTCTGGAAATTCTGGCTTGTATGGGTGTGTCAATGGGGCTGATGGAAAAGGTAGGGTTTATTTTTTCATCAGAGTTCAGAGGTCTTCAGAGAAGGGAACAGGCCATGAATAGAAGTTGAACTGATTGCTGGCCCTGGGACAAAAACCCTTGACCTTTAGGGTTTATCTTCTAAGTGTGAGTGCTAACTAGGAGAGGGACATCTCTTGAGAAGGGAAAAGTCCTGTGCATAAGCTTAGTTTTAGAGGACCTTGGGGAACCCAGGAGGGGGCAGCGTAGTGTGGCCATGCTCAGCTATCTTTTGGCTTAGCCCTTTAGTGAATGCCTGCTGAGTTCTTAAGGAGAAAGAGCTAGAAGGAAAAAAAAAATGCGTTATATTTGGCGTTCTTAACCTAAGATCTGTGACTCCAGATTTTTAAGTAACACCTGTATTGAGATATAGTTCACTATGATACAATTCATCTATTTTGAGTGTATAATAGTTCAGTAGTTTTTAGTATATTCACGGAATTGTGCAACCTGTGTCACAACTTTAGAACATTTTCATCACTCCCTCCAAGAAAACCCTAGCCATTGGTAGTCACTCATTTTTCTCTTTCCCCTCCCCACCCCCAGCTGTAAGCGGCCACTAATCTATTTCTTTCCTTCTTTTCACTTTTTTTTTTTTTTTTGGTTGCCCAGGCTGGAGTGCAATGGTGCCATCTTGGCTCACTGCAACCTCTGGCTCCCAGGTTCAAGCGATTCTCCTGCCTCAGCCTCCCGAGTAGCTGGGATTACAGGCATGTGCCACCATGCCCAGCTAATTTTGTATTTTTAGTAGAGGTGGGGTTTCTCCATGTTGGTCAGGCTGGTCTCAAATTCCCAACCTTGGGTAATCTGCCCACCTCAGCCTCCCAAAGTGTTGGGATTACAGGCGTTGAGCCACTGCGCCTGGCTGCCACTAATCTATTTCTATAGATTTGCCTGTCCTGGACATTTCGTACAAATGGAATTATATGGTGTGTGTGTGTGTGTGTGTGTGTGTGTGTGTGTGTTTTGAGACAGGCTCTCGCTCTGTTACCTAGGCTAGAGTGCAGTGGCATGACCACAGCTCACTGTACCTTTGACCTCCCAAGCTCAAGCGATCCTCCCACCTCAACTAAGTAGCTGGGACTACAGGTGTTTGCTGCACCTGGCTAATTTTTTGTTTATTTTTTGTAGATACAAGGTCTCACTATGTTACCCAGGCTGGTCTCAGACCCCTGAGCCCAAGCGATTGCCTGCCTTGACCTCCCAAAGTGTGGGATTACAGGTATGAGCCACCTCACCCAGCCGTGCTATGTGGTCTTTTGTGTCTGGCTTCTTTCATTTAGCATACATAACATTTTCAAGATTCATTCATATTGTGGAATGAGTCAGGATTTCATTCCTTTTTATGTCCATTGTATGGCTATACCACATTTTATTTATCTTTTCCATTAAAAAACTATACTACATTTTATTTACCCATCAGTTGATGGACATTTGAATTGTTTCTACTCTTTGGCTGTTATGAATAATGCTGCTATTGTGACTACAGATTTTAAGCCTCCTGGAAGTTTGTGGTGTTCTTTATTTCTGTGGAGTTAGTTTATAGCATCTGGCCTCTGTTCAGTTCCTCAGAAGCCCCAAGTCCTTACCAAGATCAGGGCTTTGACATGTGACAAGGATGCTCTTCATCTGACTGACTTCTACTCAGATGCAACCTTCCTAAGAGGGACCTCACTCAGATCTTCCCAATGTAGGTGACAACCTCTCCTCATAACACCCAGTGCTTTCCCTTCTGATCACAACTTCTTGGTGTGGATGTGGTCTGTCTGTTCTGTTTCATGTGACACATACAGTGCCTATACTGCATAAATGGTTGAAATAGTATGGTATACAGAATGGATGTTGATAACTGAGAGCTATGTGCTGGCTCTGTGGCCTGAACATAGACTTTATCACTGATGGCAGCAGGGTGCCTCCCTGTTGACTAGGGTTAAGGCAACAGTGGGAACTCTCTTGGCCAAGAGGTCTGGTGTCACGCAGAGAGTAAGGACTGGACAAAGAGGACCATAATGCCTCTTTGTGACCAAGCAGGATGGATTCCTGGCATAGATTATATCTGGGGAACATTGTCTTGTTTTGTGTCTTGCTGAGTTTGTGACTTCCTTGTCCTGAATCATCTCTAGGCCAATGTGGCCAGTGGGTTACATACACTCTTTTGTCACCACCTAAAAATGGAGAAAACTTTTGAAAATATGGGCCTAGTTTGGCCATTAGCAAGGAGAACACTGAGGGTGCTATGAGTTGTAAACAGAAGAGAAAGTTACGAATATTAATTTTGCCTACAGGGCTTCTTTGACAATATTCAAATAATTACAGAGGCAAAACTTCCTTTTGAGGGATGTGCAACCTGTTTTAGCTATTGCCTACAAGGACATTAGACCTTTGGGAAGCACAAAAGTGAGTTACATTCTGCTTGTGACAGTATTGTAAAAGGTTCCCTGGAGATCTTAAAGAGTAATGAGCATGTTTTCTAAAAACATTCCAAAGCTCAGCAGCTACTTATATTATGAATAAGGTAAAAACCCACCACTAGGTGACAGTCTATTAGCAGAAATTGCTCCTTTATGACTCTTCATCTAGACTGAAAATTTCTGGGGACATCAGGGAATAACAAAAGTATTCGATAATAGTTTTTTGCTCCCATTCTGTGTCCTCCTCCTATGCAGTTTACACCCTCAATTTTAAATGTTCTCCTTCAATCTCTGCCTCTCTCTCATTTATATTAAAATAATGAAAATATGTTGTATAGAAACAGAGAAATGAGACATGGAAAATTAACACTCCTGCCTCCTGTCCCATACTGGTTTTGTTTTTGTGTTTGTTTTTGACATAGTCTCGCTGTGTCGCCAGGCTGGAGTGCAGTGGTGTGATCTCGGCTCACTGCAACCTCCGCCTCCTGGGTTCAAGCGATTCCCCTGCCTCAGCCTCCCAAGTAACTGGGACTACAGGAGTGCACCACCACCATGCCCGGCTAATTTTTTTTTTTTTGTATTTTAGTAGAGATAGGATTTCACCATGTTGGTCAAGATGGTCTCGATCTCCTGACCTCGTGATCCATCCGCCTTGGCCCCCCAAGGTACTGGGATTATAGGCGTGAGCCACCGCGCCCACCTGGTTCTTTGGGTTTTTAAAATAAACATACCTGTAAGAAGAGTACATCTAGTGCTCTTGGCTTTCCAATATGTAGAATATACTTTAAAATCTGGTTCAAGTTTAGTTTATAATTATTTTCTCTCTCATGAATAAAACTCTATGTTTCCTTCAGCATTTGAGGTAAAAATGGGACAATTAGGAGAAACAAATTTTAGGTGTTTAGTCTCTTTTGAATGAAGGAAAAACTCCCTGGAAAAAGTTCAGAGTGTGAAATTTGAAATTTAACTTGGTGCCACCCGAGGCTAGTTTGATTCTCGGTAACTGCTGTATTTAGGTACTAAGAGTCAGGGCACTAGGAAGCTTAGATCCCTCCTGGGCAAATGTGACTGATCTTGTCCCTCCTTTTTCCTTGTGCCTAAGCCTGCAGGGTGCTGTTAGCCTGGACTAGCACACTCAGATTCCATCTTTCAGAGTGGTTTCCGCAGTCGCCTGGGTCACTGGCGCCTAGTGAAAAGCTCCCAGAGGTTATTCCAAAGTCTCTTGCGTTACTCCTGTGCTCCATTTCTCAGTTTTAGGTGTTCTATTATCTCTGTAACCTAAATTCTGTTATTTCTGAAAGAAAAATATACAATGTATATTCATGCATTTAAAGATGGACCAAGTAGGCACAAAAAAAGGCAAAATGTGGAATGCTATTTATTCAGTTCTTCCATTTGTATGAAAATGGAAACAGAGGTGTATGTAGGGATATACTTGTATATGTGCACATATTTCTACAAGGATAGCAGTGATGTTCAAAATATTTAACAACTGGTTCAGCACTGACACAGAGGTGGGTGCTGGTTTTAGAGCTCAAGGGATTCTGGAGGTCCCCTAACATCTATGTAATAATGGATCTAGACTCTGGGGGGCAGCACTCCAAGGCCATGCCAGGCAGCCACCAACTGCTTCTCTGGGGAAGGGGGCTGAGGGCAGGAGGGACTTATTTTTCAATATGCCCTTTAGTGCTGTTTGAAAGGTTATTTTTTGTTTGAATCCTATTTATGTGCACGTAGGTAGATTTTCATTTTGTTTAGCTTAGGAGATAAGTCTTACTTTTAGAATTTGTTTGTGGACATTTCTGTCTAGTTATTTGCCTCCAACCTGTCTCTAGCCTCAAGGCCATTTCCTTTAGTTCCATTTTGCTGAATCCTCCACAGAGAGCTCTCCTTAAGCTTCTTAAGCCCCTCTGTTTGAGGGGAAGGGAAGACCTGGCTGAACTCCCTCTCATAATCTCTCAGTTCTCCCCAACCCCAACACTGGTGTCTGAGTCTCCTTTCATTGCTTATCTTGAGCCTCTTGTCTCTCCACCTACCAGACCTCAATTCCAATTCCATTATTAACCAGTATAGGCATCACGGCATCACACTGCCTAATCTTATGATCAGAAAATAAGTGCTTTTTTTTTTTTTTTTTTTTTTTTTTGCGTTCCCACAACTTTTGTGCATATGGAGAATTAGGTGTCCTATACACACCAGCCCTAATGAGAATAGTTCTTATGTTAGTGGTAACACTTACATGGCTTGAGCCTCCACCTACCTAATGCGGACACACTGCTCCCTTCCCCTTTCCTATTATTACTGGGAGGCAGGATATGGTGATCCCTGCAATGTGCTTCCTCTCTTGCCTGTTCTTTCACTTTGAGCTTCTTGTTGACCCCCTCCTGCCACGAGGCCACTGGGGGGCAGTGTCTCGTCTCAGTCAAAGTTGCTTTCTCCCTGGGCCCCAAAGGCCATCAACCGCACTGTTCCTAAGTTGTGGAACGAAGCCTCTTCTCTTCCACTTTGCCTCACATTTTTTCACTTGGGCCCCCAAAGAGCATGACATGTATCCATTGTCTCACTTGAGCCCCTTCTCTCTCTACCTGCAGGTTCTCTCTCTGTAGAGGTCAGGCATGAGTCTATGGAGCAAGTACAGGGAACCAAAGTCACCCCACCCCCATCCCAAGGCTGTCCTTTCCCACTCTCCTTTCTCCACTCTAAGATACCACGAGACCATTTTCCGGCAGTCACCTTCGCTTCAGGCTAATCAGCACCTACAACCAGGTCAACTGCTCCCTTAGATTTATCAGACCAAGTTGACTGTTTGTGGTGGGCACTACTGGGCTCAAGCTGATAGCCTGGCCATGCATATTCTGTTAATGCCTATCTTACTGTGTGGCACTTGTCTGCAGACATGTCTGCTTGCCCCATTAGACTGTGGCTTCCTTGAAAGTGAGCTCCTAACTGTGTGGTGTTCATTTTTGTATCTCCAGCATGCAGTCCCCTGCCTGTTACACAGCTGACCTTGGTAAATATTTTTGAAAGAATAAATGAACACAGCCCAATTAGCGGAGATATGCCGAAAGAAACAGCCCATCTTTGCCAACATATGCAGAGGGAGAGAAGCTCTTCTTGAAGAGGACCCACTTTCTTCTAGAGCAGCCACTCACAGCTCTCTCGACTCCTTGGACCCTCAGGGTTGGAGAAGACCCAGGGTTAGGATAGCACTTTTGGGGGAGGTTTCATTGACCTTGTTTTGAAAGAATAACATGTTGAAGAGCCAGGTGACTAGTTACATTTTATTGTGTACCTGCCAGTTGAAAAAAACAAGGTCAAAAACACAAAAGGATAGAACATGGCAAAACATATTGATTAGACGGGGAAAGCAGATGACACACAGGGACAGGACATTTTATTTTTATCATTCCAAATTCAGAGAAATATAATTAACTCCATGCTCGGTTCACCTAAGTTTTTGTAGCAGAGGTGAACGTGACAGATTGAGGCACAAATTTGTTAATGCTGAATATTGGGCATTTCTTCTGTTATTATTTACTGGACATAATCTGATGTCATGTGATAGACCATGATATGTAAATGACTTCACTCAGGAAAAATGATAACTTATGTAACTTTATCTGGCTTTATTCTCTACACATACTGAGAAGCAAACCCATTAATCACAGCCTAGGCAGAAACTCTTCAAGTAGTGTGTGAGACAAACAGAGGTATTAATTATATTTATTATGGTAATAATATGCTTAACACTTCCTTCAAGGCATGATAGTTGCAGAAATTGGGAAAAATAAGAATACTCTAGCAGACTTACAGATACTCAGTGGCAGTATCACAAATAATCATAATCACAAGAATTTCAGAGATGAGGAAGCAGAGAGAGAGGGAGAGAGGTGTTAACAATTTGTTAAACATCACACAGCTGGTAAGGAGTCTCTCTAATTCCAAAGCATGGCTTCTTTCCTCTACACAGCAGTGCCTCCTCAATTAGAGAATGTTATAGTGTAAAATCATCAGAGGAATAATGTGATTTCGAGTAATTTTTAAAATGATATTGTCTGGTCACTTATTCTGGTTTTTCTGTTCTACATAACAGTTATGCACCCCATAAGGACGTTTTGGTCAATAATGGGCTGCATATATGGTGGTGGTCCTGTAAGATTATAATGGACCTGAAAAATCCCCATTGCCTAATAACATAGCTTTTGTCACATAGCACAGACCCGTGGGTGTGGTGATGCTGGTGTAAACAAACCTACCACACTGCCAGCCTTATGAAAGTATAGCACATGCATTACGTACAGTACATAATACTTTATAATGATAATAAGTGTTCCTTATGTGTTTACTATACTTTTAATTGTTATTTTAGAGGGTACTGCTTCTACTTATATTTTTAAAACTTAACTGTAAAAGCACCTCAGGCAGGTCCTTTGGCAGGTATTCCAGAAGAAGCATTGTCATCATAGGAGATGACAGCTCCGTGTGTGTTATTGCTGCTGAAGACCTTCCAGTGGGACAAGATGTGGAAGTGGAAGACAGTGATATTGATGATCCTGACCTGTGCAGGTCTAGGCTAAGGTGTGTTTTGGTGACTTTGTTTTTAACAAAAATGTTCAAAAAGTAAAACAAATAATAAAATACGAAAATGCTTATAGAATAAGGATATAAAGAAAGAAAATATTTTTGTACAACTACACAATGTTTGTGTTTTAAGTGAAGTGTTATTTCAAAAGAGTCAAAAAGTTTTTAAAAATTTAAAAGTTTATAAGGTAAAAAAGTTACAGTTCACTAAGTTTATCATTGAAGAAATATTTTTCTAAAATAATGAAGTACATCCTATGTGTACAATGTTTATAAGGTCTGCAGTGGTGTGCGATATTGTTGTAGGCCTTCACGTTCACTCACCACTCACTCACTGACTCACCCAGAGCAACTTCCAGTCCTACAAGCTTCAGTCATTGTAAGTGCCATATGCAAGTGTACTATTTTAAGTCTTTTGTTTTGTTTTTTTACTCTGCCTTTTCTATGTTTAGATAAACAAATACCATTGTGTTATAATCACCCACAGTATTCAGTATAGTAGCATGCTGTACAGGTTTGTAGCCCAGGAGCAACAGGCTATACTCCATAGAGCCCGGATTTGCAGTAGGCTATAGTGTCTACATTTGTGTAGGTGCACTCTATGATGGTCACACAACAATGAAACTGCCTCATGACGTGTTTTTCATAATGTAGCCCTGTTGTAAGTTATGCATGACTATATACAGAAAAATGTAAGTGGAGAGAACCAAATGACTTACTAGGCAACAAAGCAGGTTGGGCAGATGGACAGTAGGTGGAATGACCATGGTGCCTGAATTTTCTATTACTCAGTACCTTATCAATTAATATTTCCTACTCTACCTTCCAGATAACTCAGCCTACTTAAAGCCCACCAGAAAGTCAGCCAACAAATCTCCCAACTCACTCACCCACCATCAACCCGTAAACTCTCCAGCATGTATTGAAGGCCTACCTTGTTGTGCTTGATACAGTGTTTGGTGCCATGTGAAATGACAAAGCAGGACCAGACAGCGTCCCTGCCACCCTGGTGCTTGTAATCTAGTTGGAGAGATACGATAAAAATAAATGACACAATTACAGAATCTGACAGAATGTAATAAAGTGCTAAATTGTGTGGTACAGACAATTAGAGAACAAGACAGTATATAATAAAGTGCTAATTGTGTGGTACAGACAATAAGTATAATAGGAGTTCAGTGAAGGGATAGATGAGTGTGGGCTGCAGTCTTCAGGGAAGGCTTCTCATCATGTCAGTGCTGCCGTGTTTATCCAGTGCATGACGGGAAATGGAATATGAAATAGAAGATGGATTATGAGCAGAATAATGGTGCTGAACTGTGGTATCTCTTCTCAGGCTGGATGAACACAGAAAGAGTCCTTTGAAAGGTAGCATTCTCCATTAAAAAAAATCAAATAGAGAAATACCTTATTTTCTTTATTAGTTGTGTTATAGATAATTTCTACAGAAACTTAAAATCAGATTTTAAATTGAATAATGTTTTCAATGTACCAGGATGCTCACTGTTTAAAGGAGCCATGTTGTAAATCCTTTTCATAAATGAAAAATACTTTTGCATTATTGATGATCACTTGTTTATACAAAATTCCTCAAAGCTAATAGTAAATAGGTACTCTCATACACTACTGGTGGGATTGATGAACCTTTTACAAGGTAACTTGGCAATGTGTACCTAAAATTTTGACAACGTGCATATTGTTCAACCAATCAGTTTCACTTCTGGGAATTTATCCTAAGGACGTAGTAATCATAGGTGACTGCAAGAATAATTTTACTACAATGATAATTATCACAGCATTAGGATAAACTGGGAACAATCTAAATGCCCCCAAAGAGAGGACTGATGAAATAAACACATATTTATAAAATGGAATGTATAGTCACTAAAGTGTTACTGTAAAAATAGGTAATGCTGTGGGAAATGTTCACAACATATAGATAAGAGAAAAAGCAAATTTGAAAACTTGAAGAGTATGATTCCATTTTGTTAAAATGTGTTTTATGGCTAAAAACATGTTTTATTCACAGAAACATATTTGAGTGGTGAGGTGATACGTGATTTCCACTTCTTTATGCTTTTTTGAAATTTCCAAATGTTTTCCAAGTTACATGGTTTATTTTGTAATAAGACATATATTAAAATTCTACAGTTCTCTGATTTAATTTGCTTTGAAAGTTGTGATTGTCATAATTTAGATTGCCATCTCTAGAGCCAAAGGTCTTGTGGGACAAGTAAGTTCTGGGACCAGAGACAAACACGAGAAGTATTATTCCTTTTTCTTTTGAATTATAAATGATTTATATTAGCAAAATGTATACCTTCTTTCCTTAAACTCATATTCATGTGGGAGCTGTTTGGGAGGGACACATACTCTTTAAGGCTTATACAACGTGAATTTTTAGCAGCAGAGCCTGCCAGAGTGGGTGGAAAGCCCAGGGCATGGATTAATTTTTAAGACGTCTGGAATACTAAAAATAAAAATAAGAAAAATGTAGAAGTAAGTGTAGATGTGCTGAAACAGAGTTTCAAAAATTGTGATGATTTTAAATGTTTATCTTGAACAAACTGATGCCTTTAACACACAGTATACAGGAACAGAAAGTAAAGCTTCATGGTGACATTATGTCAAAGGCTAGAATTGGAGATCTTTGGTGCATGCAGGATCAAGGCCAAATTAGGCTCTGCCTGGAAACCATGCAGAGGATGTGGAATTATTGAAAAAAATAAGAAAATATGTAGAGAGGATTTTGGAATTTCTGGTCCAAGGGATTTTCCATGTCTAAAGTGAAAACAAAATAGTTTTCTTCTGTTCCAAGAACTTTATTTAGAACTGTTTTGAAAGGGGCCTTTCTCTGAAACATTTCAATACAAAACCACATTATTTTCTCATCCTATGACTCTATGTCTTCCATTCCCTAGGTTTTGACTAATTTAAGGTTTTAAAATAGACGTTTCAACCCTTTCTAGTTAATAATTTTCTATTTTAACCTCATCATCTAGCCTTTCATCTATGACTTGGCCCGGTAAAACATAGCAAGTCAGAATTTTACTTCCTTCCTGTGCCCAAAAAATATAAAGAAAATCCTTGAATACCCAGGTTTTTGGGAAGTCCAACCTTAGCCAAAACTGGGAACTGTTTGCCTTTCTTTGGAGAACCCGTCCTGTAGAAAGAATGAGCTGGGCGGCATCCCTGAAGTACAAGTCAGGAGAACTTGTTCCTGGACATTCCCTTGTCTCCAACTAATTTGGATGAATTCACCACTCTGTGCTTCAGTTTTTTTCGTGGCATAGTACAGTGCTCACATGGAGGATGATGGCAGGTGTGAGGTAATTAAAATATTTCTGACAACATGGCAGACTAGCTGACATGGAGAAGCCTTCTCTCCCACTACTGTCACATAGAAAATCTAGATGATATGTGGCAGCAATTTAAAATATACAGCCATGGTTTTTGTTGTTGTTGTTGTTGTTTGTTTGTTTTTTATTTGAGATGAGGTCTCACTGTGTCACTCAGGCTAGAGTGCAGTGGTGAAATCTCAGCTCACCACAACCTCCGCCTCCTGGGCTCAAGCAATCTTCCCACCTCAGCCTCCCAAATAGCTGGGGCCACAGGTGCATGCCACCATGCCTGGCTAATTTTTTGTATTTTTGGTAGAGATTGGGTTTCATCATGTTGCCCAGGCTGGTCTCAAACTCCTGAGCTCAAGAGATCCGCCCACCTTGCTTCCCAAATTGCAGGGATTACAGGCATGAGCCACCACACCCGTCCATTACAACCAGTATTGAAAAAAGTAAGGGAAATCTTCTAGTTCTCAATGTGAAAAGAAAACTCAGAGCCAGAGTAATAACTGTGGCTGATGTTGCTAGAAAGGCACATAGGTCCCAGGATCCAGAGTCTTGGGCCTGGAGGCCCATCTGGAGATAGGACATGGGGCCTCAGGCGAAGTTTAGGCAGGACACTATGACTAGAATTGTCAGATTTAGCAAATTAAAATACAAGGTGGCTGGTTAAATTAGAATTTCAGATAAATGATGAATCATTTTTTAGGGTAAGTATGTCCTACAAGTTGAAAGGAACATGTTTATGGTTAAAAAAAAAAAAGTTGTTTATCTGGAATTCAAATTTAACTGGACTTCCTGTATTTTATGTGGTAATTCTGTGACACAGGCTTGTCAATAATACCTGGAGCCTAGGAGAAGGGGTGCCTCATCCGTTATGAAGGGACTATGGAAAATACTGACAATTGTTATGAAGAGGAGGAAGGAAATTTGTAGTTGGTCTATGGCTGTGGGTGGGAAAAATGTGTTTCACAGGCATTTACCATGAGTAGATGTAGGATCTGGGAGATATAGAAATCTCATTCTAAGAAATTACCATGAAATCTGGTCCAGGACAATGGAATCCTTAGAATTTCACCGGAAACAAAGTGCCATGTTGGGCTGTTTCTACAATTTAGGTACACAGGTGTGTGGTTGGATAACCAGCCCTGCTAAAGATGAACTCTTAATACAAAACTAAGAACCGAATGAATTACCCTGAAGGGAAACCTGAAGATAAAATAAATGGGGAAATCAGCAATCCAAGAACTGGGTTAATTTAAAAACTCTGAATGAGGCTATGAAATAAGTATTGTCTTGGTGTGTTTGGGCTGCTATGACACAATACCATAGACTGGGTGGCTTACAAACAACAGACATTTATTTCTCACAGTTCTGGAGGCTGGAAGTCCAAGATCAAGTGGCCCACTGATTTGGTTTCTGATGAGGGCGCTCTTTCTGGTTCATAGAGGACAGTCTTCTTGCTATGTACTCTCATGACGAAAAGGGTGAGGGAGCTCTCTGGGCTCTTTTATAAAGACGTGAATCTACCAAATGCCATCATGTTAGGGATTAGAATTTCAACATATGAATTTTTTTTGTGGTGGGGGACTATAAACATTTGGCCTAATGCACGTATCTCTTAAATGTCAGAGACATAAAGGAAGGAATAAAACAGAAGAATATTTTGTCATTAAAAAAGACCAGGTTTATTTGTAAAAGAACCAGAAAGAAAGTGTAGAGATTAAGAATATATTTGTTGACATTAACAACTCAAAGGGACATGTTAAATAGCAGATTAGACTTCTGAAGAGAGCAAGTGAACTGGAAGAAAGAACTAAGGCAATCACCCAAACAGAAGCACAGAGAAATAACGGGATAGAAAAATATGACATAAAGAGGAGAAATTGAAGTAAGAGGAGGTCATGTGCATTCATGTATTCACACATTTAATGTTTTGTCTTATCCAACTGGTGACTGGAGTCACCCCAAAAGCAGTACCGGGGAGTTCTCACAAGTGAGTGCCCCAAACCATCCTGAGATGGGGCTGGTTGGGATTCCAAAGAAAGGAGCACTAAATGCCAGGGTGACCAGTCCAAAGCATTTATCGGGAATTTGTGTACAGAGTGGGCTACAGCAATCCTTCCCATGAACAGCGAGAGGAAAGGGATGTTCTACCTAGGTGTGTCAGCAGTAAGGGGGTCAGGGTGTGGAGTTTATATGAAGGTTTAAGGAATTTGGCTCAGGTTCAGGGCCAGTTTCTCTCTAGTAAGCCTAGATACCTGTATCAGTACCTGGGGATGTTCAAGGCCCTGGTTAGGGTTCAAATTCACTGGGAAAAAAACTGCAGCTGGCCAGGTCACATAGCAGTCAAGGCACTCTGTGGTTTTTGGTTAAGACCTAGAAATAAAAGTGAAGGTGGGGGTTGGGAGTGTGTACCAGGGAACCCTACACATCTATATTGAGGAAGGCATAAGGAAAGAAGAGAGCAGAGCAAACAGGCATACAACTGTTAATACATAGTAGACATTGTTTTTTCTTAAAAGGACAGACCCCAAAATACAGAGGCTTAAAAGAGATAGAAATTTATTTCTTTCCCAAGTGACAGTCCAGATGTCAAGAGCTGGTAGAGTGGCTCTGTTATTCTCCATTTGTGGCTTCTATTTTAGGATCCCATATGGCTACTTTAGCTCTGTCTCTCATGTCTGTATCGCAGGCAGGCGCAGGGGCAGGAGAGTTTGCAAGGAAGGCAGAAGGGGCATACATGCCCATCTTTTAAAGATACTATCCAGAAAACACACATCATTCAAGAATGAGGCAAAAATAAAGGCATTTTTTTTCTGATAAATAATTCAAAAATAGACCCTGGCTGAAAGAATTATTAAAAGATATACTTCAGTAAGAGATGGAAATTGAATACAGAGAGGTGTTGGATGCAAGAAATAATGGTAATCTCTTCTCTGTATAATATTCTTGAACACAAATGCACTTAAAAATTAGTCTCAAAATACATAAAGCAAAATGTGATAGGATTATGATGATGTGAAGCATCACAGAAAGCACATTTGATTACATAGCAGAAGATTTGGGTTGTGGACTCCACTTGATATTTTATTATGCAGAGCTTTAGGTTAGACTAGATCCTTCTATAATTTATACTAACTTTAAAACAAAAAACTCAAGCACAACTCATTAGTTTTATGACCTTATGGTATACTCTTTTTGCATCAGAATGTGGGCTTGAGATTATGACAGTCCAGGTACAAATCTTTGCCCTGTCATTGACTGACTTTGTCATCTTGAGCAATTTAACCTTTCAAAACATAAGTTTCCACATCTGAGAGATAGGAAATATAACTGTATTAATCAAAGTTCTTGGCTCCAAACAACGGATGCTGATTCTTGTTGAATCAGTAGAAAAGCGTTTTATTTCAAAATATTGTGTGGATCACAGGACTGTTGAGTGAACTAGAAAACTGGGCTTGAGAATAAGCCTCGAGGAACAATATCCCAAACTAAACAACAAATTTAATGGAAAAATGCTGCTGTTCCACAGTTATTGCTTTTGTGTCCAAAATACCCTATTGTAATCCCTGGGAAAGAGCCACCACAAAAAAACCAGATACCTCTGCCTCCCCTTCACCAGCAAATTTGCAAAGATACAAGGTCCCTTTTCTGCAGAGCCTTTTTCTTCTTATTGCTTCCTTCTGAATCAAAAACATTTTTAAAAATAAATTAGTGTCATTTTATTTTTTATTTATTTTAGTTTTTATTTTTATTTTTGAGTCTTACTCTGTTGCCAGTGCTGGAGTGCAGTGGCACAATCTCAGCTCACTGCAACCTCTACCTCCCAGGTTCAAGCAATTCTCTTGCCTCAGCCTAGTAGCTGGGATTACAGGCACCTGCCACTATCCCTGGTTAACTTTTGTATTTTTAGTGGAAACAGGGTTTCACCATGTTGGCCAGGCTGGCCTCAAACACCTGACCTTAAGTCTTCTGCCTGCCTTGGCCTCCCAAAGTGCTGGGATTACAGGCATGAGCCACTGCAGCTGGCCTTGAATCAAAATCTTATAATGATATGGTGTCCTTGATTCACACCAACTAATTCATGTGCCTGAATCCTAGCTGCAAGGGCAGCTGGAAATTTGCACTCTGACTCCTATATAGCAACTCATAATTTGGATATGTCTTCAAATATAGAGGAAAGACTCAAAAGATGATAGGCTCCCATGGGTAGAATAGATGCTTACTATAATGGTAATAATAAAATCTACTCCTGAATTTAAACTTCCTCCTGTGTTTGGAGAATGTACCATGTTGTGTCTTGTTAGATGAAGGATTTTCATTTCACAGCAGAAGCCCAAAAAAGACAAGGTGCTGGTTCACTTGAAATCTTGCCAGTTAGTGCATGTACATGAGACCTAAGCTCGGTTAAGCAGACGTTCTTGTCTTGAATTTTATGACTGTAAGAATGATGCAAAGAAGTAGAGATAATTTGACCATCATTCTAGTGGCAGCATTATCGATGGCTATAACAGTCAGCATCTAATGTCCAGGAGCAATAATGACAGCAGGGTCCAGATTCCAGTAGCTCTTCTTACCATGTGAGTGTCTTTTTCCTTGTCTAAAAATGGGTATGCCTTGCTTTGGAGGGTGTGTATAAAGATTAAATGAGGATTGCATATAAGAAGGGCCTCTGAGAAACATCAAGCACCTTACACACACAGGCGTTATTCTCTTCCCCTATCACAAGCACCAGCCTTGAAAACCTAGCTTAATGTTTAGAGTTCCGGAAGAAAAGGAACAATTCATTTAAGCTATAAAAAGAACAAATAAAACATGCATGAGGAAACAATATGACCATAATATATTGAAAAGTTATAAATGCAATATTACTTTAGCTCATTGGGATAGAAGACAACCAAGAATGCATTTTTATTCCATCCTGATCACCTATTTGACAAACTAGTTGTTCCACCATTATATTATCCTCAATATGCAATCAAGATATTTGAATTTCTGCTATAATATGACTTTTGAATATATTCATTTGAGACTACAGATAAGGCTGATTCAAAATTCTCTGGCATATT